CCGCGCTCCGGGCGAGGGGCCCAGGCTGACGGCCTCTGAAGTTCCGAGTTTTAAACTGCAGGCTTGGTAGTCTGAAGCCTGCGTCTCTCTTCCCAGAAAACGTGGCTGAGTCCAGAAGGTGAATGCAATTACCTTACAGAAGCCAGCTGCAGCCAGAACGAGAAGGAGCGTGTGATGTGCTGCTGCGGGGGCGTTCTCAGGGCTGTATCTGGGCGTTACACTGCGGGGTCAGCGGCAGCAGTGACAACTCCTGCACGTTTGAAGTTGTGTTGTGCACAAAGGACGTTTCAGGATCTCTGCCACAACCGTGATTGACACGAAGGGGCCTGATTTGTGTTGATAGTCACACGTGCTGCTGGTGCTGTGGCTCCTGGCCTACGTTTGTCATGAAGGGAAGGGCGGAATTTCAGTTCTAGGATAGTGAAACTAAAGCTGTAACCTCATTCCCCATCCACATTCACCGGCCCTCTGAATTCCCTCCATGTGTGAGGCCACAGGTTGAGAGCCTTGGTACTTACAGAACACCTGGTTCCCCCCAAACCCCGATCCCAGAACCTGTCCCACCCCCAGACCTAGTGTTTCTTCCTTCTGATGCCCATGGTTTGGCAAATCCCTCAACCCTCTGGGCTGTGAAGTTCTCACCTTCCGGCCAGGATAATGTGCGTTCAAGTGCAAGACTAGAGAAGAAGATAGATACCTTTAAAGCCAAAATTCTGCAAATGGTAAGATGTTACTAAAAGAAGAGTCAGAAAGGTTGTGGCAGCATCAGATAGGTTAAGGAGCTGAGGGGGTGGACATAGAGTGCAGAAAGAGATTTCTAACGCTTCTTTGCAATTTTCAAATTAGCTGCGGGTTCAGATAGCAACAGTTGTAACCCTGGGCCTGAAATTCTCTTTCACTTTTTAATGATTATGTTTAACCTTAAGTAGCAAAGGCTAACTTAATATCACAGATTTGGGAACTTTATTTTTACCAGGCAGTAGGGGAGTGGTGAGGAGGAAGGTGGTTTGAGAAATTTATAATATCCAAAGGTACTTCCTAATATTGCAAAGGGCTGTCGTCCAAAAGTTGATTTGTCAGTCCTTTATTTGAAACTTGGAATGCATTTTTCTCAGCGGGCTGGCCCCAAGACATCTATGTGTTTCATAACGGAGGTGGCTTGTTCTTGTGATTGGACCTGCCTGAGTCCTGGAGGTGGGTGGGCCAGAGGCCGGCCAGGTCAACACTGGTTCTTTTTTTCATTTCCTTCTTTGTAAAAGTTTTATGTACAAAGCAAATAATCCTACAATACAGCTGTCTTATGCCTGTCCTCAACCCACTCACCTATTTCCCCCAGTCTTCCTAATGCAATGATAATGTGATTGTAATGAGCTCAGTATTAAGACTGTAAAAACTAATCACAGACAAGCCGTGTAAGAATCTATCATTTCTTTTCCATTTATGCACTTTATGCACAACTTTTTCCCCCTTTGGAGTTGTTGTCTATTGTGGTTTTTTCATTGGCTTAGTTTCTTTTTATCACCAGCCCAACCCCAAACCTTGCCTGCTGTCTGAATCTTCTCTCCCTGCTCAGACCATCAGGTAATGGATCTTCCCAAAGAGGTCACTTTTTGTCGTAGACACTGTCAGGGCCCCATGCATGTGTCCTGGGCGCTTAGCCTTTTTTTTCCAGCTGTACAGCCTGGGACCCATCCTGGAGGGCTTCCCGCTGGTCACTGGAGCCCACCCTGCCTGCACACAGGACAGGCCTGAAGGGCCAGGGAATTCCTTCCCCCAGGAGCAGCCTTGACCCGTGATGGATGGAAGCGAGTGGGTAAAGTCCTTTCCTCCTCACCCTCAGGAGAACTCTGAGCCACCTGTCCCGAGCTGTCTCCTAGGATCCCCCAGTGGGATCAAGCTACCCACAGTGGTACCTTAGTTGTTAGAATAATTACCTCCCTACCAGCATGTCATCTTGGGATGTCTCTTCCCAAATTAAACTCCCTGCACTTGAGTCTTTATTTCAGGGTCGACTCTATGGGAGAACCAGAACCAAAAGAATTCTGGAGCTCTCTGACCTATTCCTGTCTGTGCACGGTGTAGGGCTCTCATTTTTGGGGTCCCCTTCACGTGGGTCACCTCTTAGCCAGTTAGACAGCACTCGGGTAGCAGCTTGATTAGTGGAGATGAAAAATTAACTGAAAGATTTCTGGAGCTGAAGAGGGAAAACGGGACTTGAGCCAAATGCCTCCTCTTACGATGTTCTGCCTAACAGGTAGGACCCATGGTGTCCCTGTTTATTGTGGCTGTTCCATGTTGTCTCTTTCATAATGTAAATAGTTTGTTTTTTCCTTAAATTAGAAGTAATACCCACTCACTATAAGACCAAAAGAAAAAAAATCTATGAAAAGAAAGTTTTAAAGAAGAAAGTGAAAATCACATGGATTTCCAAATACAGAAACAAGTACCGTAAACCTTTCCGAGTTCTTCTCGACATTTCCATCTGTAGACATACACACACTGCACCTTTTTTTTTAATTGGGGGTATAGTTAATTTGTAACTATAGTATAGTTAATTATGTAAGTTTCAGATATACAATGTAACGAGTCACAATATTTTTTTTGGTGTGATTCACAAGTTTTAGAGATTATACTCCATTTATAGTTATTGTAAAATATTGGGTAGTTTCCCTGTGCTGTACCATATACCCTTGTAGCTTATTTATTTTATACATAGTAGTTTGTACTTGTTAATCCCCTACGTGTCTCGCCCCTCCCACCTTCCCCATCCCCACTGGTGACCACTAATTTTGTTCTCTTGTCTGAGAGTCTGTTTCTGCTGTGAATGTTGGGGTATGTTAATCTTTTCAAATTACTGTTTTTGTTTTCTTTGTGTATATGCCCAGGAGTGAAATTGCTGGATCATATGGTGGTTCTATTTTTAGGTTTTTGAGGAACCTCTATACTGTTTTCCACACTGGCTACATCAATTTACATTCCCACCAACAGTGTTTAAGGGTTTCCTTTTCTCCACATCCTTGCCAACATTTGTTATTTGTGGTCTTTAAAAAAAAAATGGCCTAGTGCTGTGTATGTCTGCTGCTTTATAACCTGCTTTTTCTCCATATGTTATTTCCATACACTGTGGTCTGTTTCCCATGCCAAACAGTAAACTGTCTACATGGTAAACAGGATTCTCTTTAATGCCTATGCGATATGTGTATTTATGTCATTATATACGTGATGCCGTAATCTAGCATTCCCTTACTGATCAACATTAAGTTGTTTTTAATGTTTTGCACAATTATAAAGAGCTTCGACGTGCATGTCATATTTTCTGTATCTCTACTGTTTTTAGACTCCTTGCTGAGGATGAATTCTTACTATAGCATGTCTGTGTGCCATGCACACTGAAATTGCCCTTCAGAGAAGTCCCAACTTACACATCCCCCAAGGCCACTTGCCTGCGTTGAGCAGGTCTTCAGTGCCTTTTCTGAAGCACCAATTACTGAAGGACAGAGCTGGGACTGGAACCCTGTGTAGCTGTTTTCTGGTCACAGTGAGCCCGGGTTGCTGTTGAAGGCCAGATGCCCTGGTTTGTTAGTGTGGAGTTTGGAGGAGAGATGCATTTGATAAGAATGACATCATATTTTATTTCAAGGAGGCTTGCAAGGCTTGCTGGGGAGCCCTGATGACTCTGGGTGGGCAGCGATAGAAATAATAGGGTGGCAACCCTGTGGCATCTCACAACGGCTCCATTTTTGAGTAGTCATGATGCCGTCGACTTTCTGTGGGAACACAGTCATAGAAAAAGTCATGGTGGCAGATGAAGGCCCCTCAAAATGCGTGATCCTTTCTATTTGTGTGACCTTGGATGGTTACCTAGCCTCTCTGTGCCTCAGTTTTTTCATCTAAAGTGGGACAGAGATGGTAACTGCCCCAGAGGGTGATGGTGAGGATTTAACCAAGAAAATACTTGTGAAGCCTGTGAGATCAGGGCCTGACTCCACAGCGTCAGTGATCAGTACTATCACACTAGTTTAGGTAGCACCTGTTGGTGCTCGTAAACCCCTCAGAGTTAGTCAGAGGAGTCCACGGGCTGGGCTGGGAGGAACAGAAGGGGTCCTCGGTGGGGAGAGTGAGGGGGTGGAGGGGCATAGGTTATAGTTTGGGAATGGATTGTAGGCAGGCCAAAGGGGTACTTAGGGACACTCTCAGAGGTAATGGAAGGGGTTGCCAACCTGATAGGGTTGCTTTTATAAAAACGTTAAAAAAAAAAAAAACCCAAAATCCACGTTTAGTGATGTTGGTGGGTATTTAAGAGTCACATTTTCGGGAGACATGCAGTGAAAGGCCATGGAGTGATGAAGTGGCGTTCCCACTGTTAGACGTGGGGCCAGAGCGTCTTGAAGGCTGGAACTCAACGTGAAGCGTCCAGTCTGTGACTGAAGCATGACCGGCCTTACGTTCTAGGCGAGAGTCTGACCGCCCAACGAGAGCGCACCTGGGAGGAAAAGGCAGCTCCTCTCATAGGACACAAAGTGCACTCGAGGTCATCGTCAGAAAACCACTCAGCTGGTTCTAGGACCGTGTATGTGACAAAACTAACCGTGTTTCAGAGTTTAAAAATAAACTTCAGGATGCCATTCGTATTTTTATTATGCTTGTTTCTGCTTGAAATTAAAAAGCTTTAACACCTGGAGCAACCAAAATGAACTGAAGTTGATATTCATAAAATCCTTTTGCAGCCCGTCCCTCTCCTGGCGGTGACTGCTCAGAGTCACAGAGAGCTGCCCTTTAGCAAAGGGGTGCTTCCTAATCGGCTGTGTTTCTGCTTGTTTGTTTTTTTAGGAGTTGGAAAAACAACATTGATCCAGAAAGCCAGTGAAGTTTTAAAGTCCTATGGTGTGCCCGTGGATGGGTTTTACACAGAAGAAGTCAGACAGGGAGGAAGAAGAATAGGGTTCGACGTCGTCACGTTATCTGGCGAGCGGGGACCTCTGTCTAGAACTGGGTACTGGTACTTCGTTTCTGTGCTGTCTCCTCCTCCCTGGGCCCGACGTTGAGCCAGGTGGTCTCGTCTCTCTTGGAGAATCTTAGGCCTTTATGAATTTCTCAGAAAAAATGAAACAGAGATTGAAACCATGTGAAGAACAAAGCTGAAAATACCATGTTTCACTTAAAACTTGCTCCGCTGAGCAGTAAGCGCCTCTCACCTGGTAACTCGCAGCCTTGTTTCTCAGGTCACTTTTCTGAGACAGGTGGGGCACCAGCACCCTGCAGGGAACTGCCAGGCCACTGGGTGGCAGGGTGCACCCCAGCGTGGGCCCTGCTCTCAGGAGGGGACGTGGGATCGCATCAGCTTTGCACACTGCCACCTTTTGCATAGGCGACTTTTAGGGATGATTTAGCATGTGCAGAGGGCCAGAGGCTCAGTGGAGCAGCTGAAAACCAGAAATCAGTGCAGAGCTCTTTCAACACAGGATGCACTGTCTTTTCATTCAGGTCAGAGCCTCCGCCTGGCAAGCGGGAATGCCGTGTGGGGCAGTACGTGGTGGATCTGGCTTCCTTCGAGCAGTTGGCGCTTCCGGTCTTGAGGAATGTGAGTGTGTGGGTTCTCCTTTTTGAGCCCATCTGCTTTTAGTGCACGGTGGGAATTGCTGGCTCCAGGGACAGAGAGTGGCTTTGCTCTTAAAGAGAGGCCAGTTCTGTGTTTTCTGGTTTAAACGTCTTCAAGTGATTGTGCCTCAGTAAGGATACGCAGCATAATTTGCTGTCACTCTGAACTCAAGTAAATTCCGTGT